TGTGATTCTGCAATCTGTATACGGGGTAAAAATGGGAGTTCATAACCCACTTGAATCAAAGTGTGAAATATGATATATCAAGAACTATGTAATGTTTTGAACAACCAACAATAAAAAAAATAAAAAAATAAAGATGTGTTATGTAGATTCTCTCCTCTGCTTCACTTTACCATTAGCAAATGCAGTTGAAAACAAACTGAAATCTATTCACCTGTGTACATACAAATGTATTTCCCCTGTTGTAAAAAAATGTTATGTAATGAAGGGTGAATTGAAGCCATCCCATTGAGGAGTCATATGAATGAATCTCAGTTTACATCCCTAAATTGCCTACAGTGTAAATAGCCTTTGTATTCTATATAAAAAATGGCCACTAAAATTGTTGCAAAAAAAAAAAAATGAGAGTCTAACCACAGAAGGGGGGGATACAGAACAGGAATGTTGTGGTTCTTTCAAAGTCAAGAGAAACTGCTAAACTTCTCTAGTATGGGTGGCAGAATTGATTCAAGGTCCCTGCAGGGAAAATGCTATTTTTAGGTCTACAAGACAGTTTTATAGTGAAAATGATTGAAATTATGTCCCTATTTTAAGCTTTTTGCAACAGTGCTTCTACCTTTGAAAGTGACAATCTAGAATAACAATCTTGACATATATGAATGTGTATTCCATGAAAGGGCAATAAAGTAAATTCATTTGTAAGGGCAAAATTATAAAATTAACATATGGAGGCCAAAATTGAATACCATCAAAATCTAAGGGTATCACATTGGAGACGGCATACTTTTTCCTGTAAATGCAAACACTTGTAGTTTTTTTTTCTCCACAGTTAAAATACATCTCTCTTCTTTTAATATGGATATTAGATAAGAAGAATATGCTAGTCACTGAGCAAAGTACCTACACTCCTCTGGAAAGTACTCCAGAGCTGAGACCTACTAAAGAAATGCTAAATTCAYATCACTTCAGGATATCAATTGGATGCTGTAGTGTCTAAAAGGTAGTGTTGAGAGCCACTGTCTTATAGAGTAAGGGGAAGTTGCTAGAGAATTGATACCTGGCAACAGTATGGGGAAAGGTATTGAATGACCACCAGGGGGACAGGTGTTTCTGTACAGGGTGCTGGACTGAGAAGTATAGTAGAGAAGGAAGGTGCAATTCCCAACTCTGCCTCTTTATCTTTGTTCACACTCTTCCCTCCACCGAGAATGCTCACAAATACTCTTCTCTGTCCATCTGTAAGTCCTTCTGTGTTAGTCAGCTTTTCATTAATAGGACCAAAATACCTGACCAGGAACAACTTAGAAGAGGAAAAGCTTATTTCAGACATTCAGTGCATGTCCAGCCAGCTCCATTGCTCTGTCCTGAAGAGAGTGGCATATCATAACAGAAAAGCATGCAGAGGAAAGCTGTTAGCCCTTGGCAGCCAGGAAGCAGAGAGAAGAGAGGGCCTAGGCACAGGATATAAGCCCCCAGTGACCTCCTCCTTCCAGTTATGCTGTACCTGCCTAAAGTTATCAAGTAATCCATTCAGATTATTAATCTACCCAATGGGTTGGTCCACAGATGAGGTTGCAGCTTTCATCATTGCCCAGAACCCCACCACTGCACCTTGCTGTATTAGGGACCATGCTTCCAAAGCATGAGCTTTTGGGGGAACACTTCACATCCATACCAAAACACCATCATTGTCTGACTTTAAACAGTGTCAGAATCTTCTGACCTACCAGGTTGGAAGAAGAGGTAGGCAGTGGGATAATCTCAAGTACCTGGGCTCTATGCTAGGCACTGTACATAAGATCTCATTCATTTCACCCAAGAACGGAACATTACCACTCAGAATAACATCTGCACAGGTTCAGTGTCTTTACCTCCCAGGAGCACAGGAGAGGGAATACTGAGTGGAAGAAATGGGAAACCCAGCTCAGGCCAGGTGGGCCCTATAACCTGTATTCTCTTTGCTGCAGTATATAGTCCTTAAATGGACCCTAATGGCAGTGCTGTGAAAAGCATTTCAATAGAAAAGTAATGCTGGCTATTTGGGGCTTGTGCCCGTCTAACTTTGATTTCAGTCTCCTTTTTGAAACTGCCCTTTGATTTTTAGTATTTTAACTGGTTACTTTCTTGGAAAGTAGAGTTTGTTTAGTATCTATTATTATTACAACATTTACCATATGCCTTTTGCTTGTTGTTGATGTTCAGTATGTATGGGTTGCTTGATTTAAATGTGTAAGGTCTTTGCAAGTTTTGAAATGCTTAAGGACTAACCAAAAATATATATACTTATCTTATACTCAGAGAAGGTCTTGGCAAAGGTAAATGTGGCCATAGTTTTGCAAATTTAAAATGCATAGTGGAATTTACATCCCAAATAAAGTCAAGGCCAAAGGTCGTCTTTTATTAAAACTTAAAGATACTTAGAATTGAAATTATCACTATGGGAACCATTGACCAGTTTTTTTAGGTGCACTTATTTTTTAGGATCTTATGCATACCATTAATTGTTAATATATTCAGATACCTTGGTATTTTTCATGTAAAGCATTTTTATCCTTTTTGAGGGAGAGGTCAGGATTTAAGTTTTAAAAGTAAAAAGGCAAGGGAAGAAATCCTAGTTTGTTTGTTTGTTTTATGTACAACTTAACTGGAAATACCTTTTTACTTGGAGTGCAGGATTGGATCTATATTCTCAGTCTAACATACAGATTCAGATCAGTTATAGAAATGTTTAACATTTCATTTAATAAATTTCTCTTGTGCTGTTTTTCAGGTCCTGTAGGAGTGGGTCTGAATGAACTGAAACGGAAGCTGCTGATCAGTGATACACAGCACTATGGTGTAACAGTGCCCCGTGAGTTTTGTACTTTTCAATGCTACTGTGACTGCACTAGTAGGGATTGCTGAACACTTAGAGAGCATGCACCCTCTGAACCTCCCATCGGCCCCTAGAAGTGTACAGTGACATTATCCACGTTGTACAGAGGAGGTAACAGAGGTACCATGGGTTAAAGGAATTGTCCCTAGATGACACAGATGATTGGTGGGATATTTGTTAATTGCAGCTTCCCTACTTTTAGAATTTTATGAGGAATTTTACCTCACAGATAACATCAACTTATTATTTACAAATTTTCTTCTAAGTAAAAGACTCACTTTTCTATTTCCTAAAATAAGTGCTAATGTTTTCCAGAGTTTTTCTCTAGTATTACGATTAGAAGGACCAAACCACAGAGAACTGAAGGAGACTTCTCATAATATGAACCTTTCTTAATTACCTTTTATATGTAGTAATTGGCAGATAGTGTTAAATGGGCTTTTCATGGCCATATAGACCAAATATGGTAGGCTTCTTTTCAGCACACAGAATTAGATCTATTTTTATAAAAGTGGTTTTCATAGGCATTCTTACAAATGAAATATGATGCTTGAAACATTTTGATCTCCAGAATAAATGCCATTTGACTACTTAATATGTTGATTTTAGAAAACTGTCTAAAAGGCTAAATTGAAATGTTGGCTTTTTCAAGTGGTTTTAGTAATGTCAAAAAAAAAAAAAAATCATTTGTCTATTGCCCTTAGCAATGTTCTCTAGTTTTGGAAGAGTTCAACTTTATTTTAAAATTATAGTTTTCTATTACCTCAAGTTACATCTTGTTACTACATTTTTCCAAATTATTGTTTGTAATCATTTTCAGCCGTAAGTTATAGGACTGCTGGTTTCCACCAGGGAAATGTGGAATTAGACAGTTTTTAATTCACTTTTAATTCACTTCTCTTACCGAAGTTGAATTTCAATTTACAGGTAACTAGAAAAGTATACAAATGATTGTTAAGCTTATAGGTGAGCAACTATAGAAGAAACCTGAGATGCAAAAACAGATTACAAAGGAAAAACAAACAAACTTCAATTTTCTACTGTAGATTCATCTCCATTGTTCATCTTAAATTATGTAACCCTCCCAACAATGGTATAAGATGGGTGATATTTTCTCTATTCCACAGAGAAGGAAAGAGTGCAAAGAGTACCTGGACTCATTCATAGCTCAGTTGATGATAGTTGCACTTGGATTTGAAATCAGGTGTTTTGACAGCACTGCTTATGTTCTTCTCCTGCTTTTCTTTAGCAGTGCTTTCAAACTATTTACAATGAAAGCCCAGTGAGCAGTAAAAACTGTAGTGAAGATGATAAATATCAATAAGGCCATCTATCAAATGTAACCTTCTGCATTGGTTTTGGTGTTACCAAAAGCCCTAGAACAAAGCACTTTGGCTTCAGTTTATCTAACTGCTGAGATAACCTGTCTCCAAAATTGTTACAGAATCAGAAAATATCTAGAAAGATTCTGGGGCTCAGACTCTGAAAAAAATTCTCAGAGTATTTATTTTCCACTCTGATTCACTTTAAACAGGTGTTAATGTCACAGGGTCCCCAAATACCAATGGTTTCAGACATGCCTGATGATAAGAATCTCTTTGGGGTTGCAAGAAAATATATGCCTGAGACTGTGTTTGTAGCAAGCATCCCAGATCATTCATAAGATCAGACATGTTTGGAAAATATAACTAAAGCATCAATTAAGAATGAGGTAGTTAATTTAAGAAAAATGTATTTTAAGAGTAATTTTGAAATTTCATTGTTTTGCTTTCTAAAATACTTTGGGGCAGACTCTTGAATATTATAGAAAAAATATTGAATATTAGGGAAAATTATTGCTTTGATGATTACTAGTATTATTTGATGCTTAATACTACAATTTTCCTTTCTGAAACATATAACATCCACGAGAATAGGTAGAATGAAAGAGATGGAACTCTTGTACATGGCTGATCAGAGTATAAATTACCATTTCAGCAAACTAAGTGGTCATATCTATGAAAGCTTCTCAAACACACCATATGACCCAGCAATTCCATTCCCAGATATACACCCAACAGAACTGCATATATACAAAAGACATATATTCAAATATTCTTAGAAACATATTTATCAGAGATAAAATTAGAAACTACCCAAACACCTATCAGAAGTAGAATGGAAGCCAGGCAAGGTGACACACGCCTGTAATCCTAGCAGCTCAGGAGATGGAGGCAGGAGGATTGCAAGTTCAAAGCCAGCCTCAGCAACTTGGTAAGGCCCTGAACAACTTAGCAAGACCCTGTCTCAAAATAAAATATAAAAAAGGTGTGGGGATGTGTCYCAGTTGTTAAGAGCCCCTGGGTTCAATCCCTGGTACCAAAAAAAGAAAAAAGAAAAGTAGTAGTAGAATGGATAATAAATTAAGGCATATTTACACAATGAAATACTAGAACACAGAAAAAATTAGTCCACAAGTACACAGACCCATACAAATGAACCCCACAGACATCATGTGAGTTAAAGAAGCAAGCACAGAAGAGGACCTGCATTATTTCTCCATGCTTATAAATACAAAAGAGCACAGCAATATGTGCTCTTCGAAATTTTGAGGAGGGAAAATTGGCCAGTAATTTGTGAGTGCTGGCAATTTTCTGCTTCTGTTAGAAGTGCTCATTAGGGCTGGAGATGTGGCTCAGCGGTAGCGCGCTCGCCTGGCATGCGTGCGGCCCGGGTTCGATCCTCAGCACCACATACCAACAAAGATGTTGTGTCCGCCGAGAACTAAAAAAAAATAAATAAATATTAAAAATTCTCTCTCTCTCTCTCCCCCCTCTCACTCTCTCTCTCTCTTTTTTTTAAAAGAAGTGCTCATTACACAGGCATGTTTGAAGTGTGAAAATTCATCAAGATATACATTTATAAGTGTATATATAACTTTATGTGAACTTTTCTTTCTGTATATCACACTCGGGTCAACCTCGCTACTGAGTTACTTTCTATGGTTTCCTCTGAAAGCAAATATCTCAAATTTTGTGTTTTTATGGATTTCCAAGTACCTGTGTTTTAGAACACTCCTTTGTCTAAAGGATGCCTTACTTAAAGTTTCCAAACTATAAATGTTTTGAACTAGGATACCAGTTTTTAATTTTTTTTTAATTTCACCATGGTGATTATTCTGGGATTTTGTTGGGGACAAGGAGGAGAGGCTAGAACTTGTTCCATATGCATTTGATTTTTGTCTTAAACTATAAGTGTGGTAGGTCAGCAGTCACAAAGTAGTGGCCTGCAATGGCTCATCTTTCCCTTTGAATCCCCTTTTCCTGTGAATTTCTAGGTCCTTCATTCAGAATCCCTCATTGTTACTGAGTTCATGAGATTCCCAAGGTTGCTCATTTTAATTAGATGCTGAAATTCTTCATCAGTAAAATAGCATCAGACCTAGCTAGTTCAGGTTGTTTATGATACACAAACACTTTGGTTGTAGACATGTACCTATGTAGTGTGTTCAGCAATATCATAAATATCTTAATTACTACTTCATGCAGTTCTAAAAATATTTTTAACCCTCTAAAGAGACTCCATGTGTTGGGAAAGTGGTGTTTAACTGTTGTAGATTTTCAGTCAGCATGTTCTGCCAGTACAATTGGATAAAGTCAGTCTTTGCTTAGTTAATGAGAAACAAATGTGTAGAAAATTCTATTTTGATTTTCCGCAAGACTTTATCTTACGCCTACCATTTGCTCAGGGAACAATAACAAATGGTGGTAATAAAACGGATTAAGTAATAAATGAATATAAACCTTAATTCTAAGGCATGGTATCRTACTAATTTTAATCTTTCAAAGTCTTAGATACTTATACATACACCCAACAGAACATTTTTGTGCTATGAAACTTATTCTTAGTTTTTATGATAGAATAAAATGTATCAGTATCAGTCCTTCATCCAGTTCCTGTAAAGGGTGTGACATTCCATAAAGAATAGCACTGCTTCTGGGTGCGACACACGTGAAAACAAGTGTGAAAAACTGTTTTCAAGAAATAAGAACTTTGTAGTAAAATGTGCTTGCTAACTAAACAAAAGGGAGTTAAAATTTTGGATATAATTTAAATTAATTGGGTTTTATGAATCCATTGCTATTTGAATTAGCTTACTGTTTCCCCGACTTCTCACATTTTTATAACATTATTTAAATACAATTAAAATAACTGCACATACTTTAAATATGATATGATCAGTCTTAAATACATATGCACAGTCAACATAACAAAGCATTTTTATCTCCTCAAAGAGGTCCATGTGCTCTTTGCAGCCCATCCCTCTACTCCTATTGCCAGGCTCCTGCTGGTCTGCATTTGGCCGYTGTGGGTCAATAGGAATCGTTAGTACTTTAAATTGAATTACACAGCATATACCTACTTTTTTCTTTGCCCAATGTTTCTATTCAACATGAGCTTGGGACTCATTCATATTGTTTCATAGATCAATAATTGATCCATTTGCACTGTTGAATAATTTTTATTATGGAAATACTGATTTTTTAAAATCTATTTACCTATTGATGGATATTTAGAARTTTCTTTCCCCACCTCATTTTTGGCCACTGCAAATAAAGGTATTATGAGGTTTGTATACAGGATTTTTGATGGTCATATGTTTTGTTTCTCTTAGGCAAGTAAGTAGGAGAATGACCATGTATCTGTGTCTTTATATGTAATATGTCACTCTTTATAGGCTTATCAGTAGAAATGTATTAAGGTATTTATCTTTTACCCATTTTAGGGTAAATCTCTGCCTTTTAATGGGTGTATAGAGACCTTAACCATTTATTGCATTATTTGTTTTTTAACTCATTATTTGTTTTCTGTATTTCATTTTCTTTTTCTTCCTTTTCTGCCTTCCTTTAGATTAGCTGAAGTTTTTTTTTTTTTTTTTTTTTTAGTATTTGATTTTAATCTACCTATTGGCACTCTGGTTAAATCTCTTTGCAATAGTTTTTTACTGGTTGCTTTAAGGGATTATAATATACATATCTAACCATTTACCATCTAAGTGGAGTTAACTTGGCATTGTTTCCCATAAAATATACAAGACTTGCAACCATGTAATTACTTTACCCCTACCTTAATCTGCTGTAGTTATTGAATATATTATATTTGCATACATTGAAAATTCTATCAATCAGTAGTAAAACTTTTACTGAAACAGTCACATATATATTTTAATGGACTTAAATGGGTAAAGGTAGACTTCGATTTGTATTCAACTATTTGTTCTTTCTTCATTCTTGAAGATCCAAGTTTCCTTCTTACCATTTCACTTCAGCATTTAAAAATGTCCATTTTTCCTTTTAGAACAAAAGGCTAATGAATTCTATGTTTCCCCTCATCTTTATGTTGCCTTTATTTCTGAAAGATATTTTGGTTGTTTTATTTCATTTCATTTATTTCTTGTTTTATTATTTATGAAAAGAAATCTGTGATGATTTTAAATAATTCTTCCCATATAGGTATTATGTTTTCCAGCTGATTTCAAAATTTTTTAGTTACATTTGACCTTTACTGATGTGATTATATGTGTAGGCATGATCTTTTTTTTCTGAATTTATCCTGTTTGGGATCTGCCGATCTTCTGAAATCTGTAAGTTTATGTCTTTCACCAAATTTTAGAATTCCAGAATCTGCTCTAATATAATTTTTCCTCTCCTTCTAGGACCTAATTACACATACAGTAGACATTTCAGCATTGGGATTCATTCATGTTGTTTCATAGATCAATAATTGATTCATTTTCATTCTTGATATGGAAATACCAATATTTTTCTGTCTATTCGCCTATTGAATCCAAGTCCCTGGAGTTCCATTTATATTTTTTTCAGTCTTTGTTTTTGTTGTTGTTCAGATTATRCAATTTTTTAAATATATATATTTTTAGTCATGAATGGACACAACACCTTTACTTTATTTTATTTTTTTATGTGGTGCTGAGGATCAAACCCAGTGCTTCAGGCATGCTAGGTGAGCACTCTACCACTGAGCCACAACCCCAACCCCAGATTATACAATTTTTATTGATCGTCTTCCGGTCACTGGCTCTTTTATCTATTATCTTCATTCTGCTATTGAAACCATCTTGTGATTTGTTTCTGTCAGATATCTTTTCAGTTCTAAAATTCTCACTTGGTTCTTCTTTTATAATTTCTATTTCTCTGCTAAGACTTGCATTTTCGTTGAATTCAGGTGTTTCCTTTTACTTTATGAAGCATAATTATGATAGTTGCATTAGAGTCTATGTTTTAACTTCTGGGCCTTTCAGTTTCCATCTGTTATCTTTCTTCTTGAAAATGGTCATATTTCCTTGGTTACTTTATATTGAACAATTTTAGATTGCATTGTAGGTATTGTATTATGTTACATTAACACTAGGTCCTGATCTAAATTCTGGAGAATGTTGATGTATTTATCTTAGCAGGTAAACAACTGCCTGACACTAAGTTCTATCTCATTTATCTTTGCTCTGTTGATTTGGATCTGTCCTGGTTGAAAGACTAGTCTGAGATTGTATGCATAAATTCAAATCCAGCTCAGTTATCCAAGGCTTTCCTACACTGTTAAGGGTGTGTTCAGTGTTTTCTATTATGCAGGGTTTAGACCTAGATTTCTTAAAAACTTCTTAAAAACTTTMCTATGCTGATTTGAATCTCAACTGCATGCGTAAGGGCAAGAGTTATTCTTAGACTAATGGTTTTTCATATATAGAATTAAAGTATTTCCTTCTCRACTTTCTCCCCTCCTGGATTTCCTACATACTCTTTAACCCAAAATGACTTGGTTTCTCCCCATCCCCTTTTTTCTAGTTCTTTCACTGAATTGGCAGGACATCTATTGGAATTTAGGCACACATTCCACTATGATTCTCTTGGAGTGATTCCTACCCTTGGGGCAAACCTAGAAAAAAAAATAAAGCCAAACTTTTCCCCATGCAGGTTGATCCCCTTCCACAATCTTACCTGTTTTATTTATTTTTCAGAGTACTCAGACAGTTGTCTTGGTTTCAGAGGTTTTCATTGTAATCAGTAGGACTGTGGTGTGTTTTTTATTTGCCATATCAGTGCAAAACCTTGTGTTTTGTTGTTTGTAATTAATCCTRCATTTTCTGCTCCATTACAGTTTACTAAAAAATAATTAGAAAAAAATTACTGGAATATTAGAAGTTCAATAATATTCTAAGAGGGTGCTGCTTATAACTTTGCCAAGGATAATGAATAGCACATAGAAGTATTTGACTTTATCCAGTTAAATATAAAGCATTGATGCCATAGTGCTGTGTTAGGAAGGTAATAAGGTAATTTCATAATTTATAACCTAGTGGGCATCAGATTTTCTTCAGTGAATGAGGATCAATAAATAAAGATGATGAGCATATTATTTGCAAAAGAAAGGAATTTTCCTCAAAGTGTTTACCACTTTTATTTAATTATATTAAAGAACCTTCAAAATAATGAGTAATAGCACACACAATGTAATTGAATTTTACCCAGTTTTCAAATTTTAATATCAGTAGCAAAATCTGAATTTATGACACTTTACTATATTTTATTAGCTAATTTGCTTATTTATAAGTTTTTAAATTCCGTGTAAGATAACTGCTTCGAGTACATATGATCATTTCTTTAATATTTTCTATACTCTTTTTTTTTAAAGTATGAGCTTTTCTAAACTTCTTTTTTTTAATCAACTCACAGATACCACCAGAGCAAGAAGAAGCCAGGAGAGTGATGGTGTTGAATATATTTTCATTTCCAAACATTTGTTTGAGACAGATGTACAAAATAACAAGTATGTAGAAATTTTGTGCAAGTTTTATGACTTTTGTTTTTAAGCATGTGCCTATATAGCCAGCCTGTATATCCACTTAGAGTTTTGCTGCATTTGAAAATGTATTTTACTTACCACAATAATATTTGAAGCCCATATAAAGTGACAATTCAGTTATTAATTTTTACTAATATTTACCCCTTTTAATAACTAGAGCTGTTCCATTTCTGTTAAATTAAACACAAAGGTATTATTTTGCAGTATGAGGGAAGGTGACTGGTGTCTTATTGTAACTTCTTTCCAGTCCACTGATTTAATCTTAACATGTAATTTGGGTGGAATTTTATTTTTTAAATTCATGGACAGCTATTCACTATATCCCTAATCCTACAATCTGTTCCATACACACACATTTATTTCATTCTTACATTGACACTTCAAGAAATTGAAATAAGGTTAAAGTTGTACACATACCATCTCCTCTAGCGAGCTCTAAAATCCCCCCCAACCCTGCTTGGGTTTTCCATTTGCTTAAGCATGACTATTTTAGRATGATATCAAAAGCAATGTGTGTTTTAATGCAGGATTGTGGGATTTTATTGAAACATCGAAATGCTTTCTTAGCGTTTGGCGCAATGATTGTGTTTTTATAGCACATGATCGGCTGCCCTGATTCCATTAGCCACCACCCGGCTCCTGTAGTTCTGAAGCTAAGCTTGGTTACTCCGTAGTATGCAATGAAATTTCAGTAGTTTCTATTGTTTGGCTGATTCATGGTTTTATTGCATTGCATTAGTTCTGAAAAAGGGGTGATGGAAAACATTAGAGCTCTACTGGATTGAAGTACTTTTTTTCTGCTTAAGTGTAATACAAGCAAGTGTTACTGATTTGAAAATGTAGAATAGAAGATTTTTTAAAATTGACATTCTAAAGTAGTTGGCCCTATTTATTCTATTAAACATGGTAAAAAATTAAATGTTAAGCAAAAATATCATTTACCTATGAATTATATCTTGCCACCTATAAATTTAACTCACAAATGATTCTGATGAGCCTCTAATTTTCCACAGGTTTATTGAATATGGTGAATATAAGAACAACTACTATGGCACAAGTATAGACTCAGTTCGATCTGTCCTAGCTAAAAACAAAGTTTGTTTGTTGGATGTTCAGCCTCATGTAAGTAAACAGTGAATATCTATAACATTGATAATTGTTTCAGGCTATAAGGAAACTGATTAGAATATTGTTTATTTAAACCTTGTTTAAATACATGCTTATTGTAAATATATCTTTGACATGATATTAATCTTGAATAAAGAAGAGTAGCAATTAAAAAAAAAGAAATATTCAGAACACTTGCAACCCATGTACTATACTGCACTTYATGTGAGCATTTCGGTATAAGGTAAATATAAAGTCTACTCATATCAGTGTAATTTAATATATCTTTGGTGGTGGAGGAGGAAGCCCACAATATAATTAGGAAATATTAGTGGAGGGAGCTTAAAGATCTGTGTTTGTAACTCTCATTCATTTCCAGTCAAGTTCAATGACTTCTAAATATTTCTGTGTATTTCATATTTTTAAAGAATAGGTTAATTCACATATGATGTATTTTTATGTTATGTATTATTCTAAGTGTTTATCATTTTTAACAGTGGACATTTGGTTCTCAGTCCTCTGTCTTTGATTTGAGTTTTGTAAATRTCCTAGAAACCTAAAACCCTTGCTAGAGTTATGAGACTTTTCCCAGGAATTGTGCTGGGCAAGATCCCTTTAACAGTTGATCTTTGTCACCCTGGGTTTTTTGTTTTGTTTTGTTTTGTTGTTTTGGTTTCTTTTTTCTTTTTCTTTTTTTGTACTGGGGATTGAACCTAGGAGCACTTAACCACTGAGCCATATCTCCAGCCCTTTTTGTATTTTATTTAGAGACAGGGTCTTACAGAATTACTAAGGAACTCACTAAGTTTGCTGAGGTTGGCTTTGAATTTGTGATCCACCTGTCTCAGCCTCCCAATCCACTGGGATTACAGGCATGTGCTGCCTCACCCAGCACCAGGGAACTCTTAAGAACATTCCAGACTGAGGATGCCAAACCCAAAGCATTTTCCTGGTCCTCCAGGGGCCCTAGATTGTCCTTCTACCAGTGGTGGCACCCTGAGGCACACAGCCTCCACTGGGTCTGTTTATTCCTGGAAGCTCACAGTGTAGTTTCTGCCTCTCCTCCTAGTGCCTGTAGTACCCCTCCGTCCCCTGCCACCTTCAATACCCCCACTCCCCACACTCCCTCTGCTGCCCACACATAGCCCATTGCCTAACCTTTAGGTGATGCCTATCATTTATATTCATATTTTGGAAGGACACAGTTCAAGAACATTCCTCAGCCCTCACCCTTCTGTCGGTTACCCTTGATGACAGGTGAGTCCCCAGAAGCAGAGTGTAAACAACATAAGACCCTTGCTGAGGGAATGCTGATGCCATCACAGACAGCAGGGGCCACCCTTATCACTCCCTCTGAGGGGCAGGTGTGAAGGACTCCTGCTTGAGATCAGGAGAGAGCCATAGGGATGGTCAGGTGACTTATTATATTATTAGTACTGTTATTATCATGTACCCCGTCACATCTTTTTGGTATTTGCTCTAAAAGCCAGATCYGTGGTGTTTGTAGCTACTTGTGTTCAACATTTGTGATTATGTATTTCAGACATTTTAAAATGAAAGTTGCATTTTCCAGCTTTTTTAGAGAGGGACATTTGTCACCTTCAATTGTCAATAACTGAATAATAATAATACATCAAAAGACCTACTGACCTTAATTAGAGAATAGGTTTAGAAATAAGTTAAGAAAATGAAATAATTCATAGGTTATGAGGAAATACAAGATAAAAATTCTTTTCTTCCTTGTAGACAGTGAAGCATTTAAGGACACTAGAATTTAAACCCTATGTGATATTTATAAAACCACCATCAATAGAGCGTCTGAGAGAGACAAGGAAAAATGCAAAGATTATTTCAAGCAGAGACGACCAGGGTGCTGCAAAGCCCTTTACGGTGAGTACAAAGATGTTAGATGGTTTCTAGCAGTGCGTAAAAGCATACGTGCATCTGTGGCTACTCAGGAAGGCTATTAAAGACAAAGCTGTGATACAAAAATCTGTAAAAGGTAGAATTGTATTTAGGTACCTATTTTGAACTATTGCACTATTAATTTCTTTTTGTAATTCTGTGAATGCAGCTTCATATTAAATTAACTATTTTTGTATGTTATTATATATATATTAGATTTTTCTAGGCCAAACATTTGTTAAAATTAGGTTAATTATTTTTCAGATTAGCCTTACATTTAAAGATAAAAGTATCCAAATCAGTTACTGCTCTTTCTTAATAGTCTAAATGAAAAACATAATAACTTGCCTATTCTCCTGGTATCATATTTAGCACTATAAAAAGAAAAGGCACCATTTGAGGAGAATACTAATAGACTATGTTATTATCTAACAGTGCTATTCGTATTTCGTAGGAGTGTTATTGGAAATGGTGACTGTGATATGTCAATGGTTACACTGACTTCTGGCAAGGCTTTTTACTGTTTTTGTTTTCAATCTTCTCAAGATAATGTATTCTACCTTTGGATCAAAATAAGTAAAGAAGTTAAATGTTAAGAACACCCCCCCTTCTATTTAACTTTAGTCTCTATTAATCTGTATACTTTTAATTGTGATTACAAATACAGATTATGTTTATGATTCCCAATATTTGATCTTTTTTCAAAATGCTAACAGTATCTATTTATGCTGAGTAAATGTTAACATATGATATTAGTTACTCAAGGTTTTTGATTAACACTAACGTTAAATTTTCTATTGGGAAATCATAGGTGATATTGCAATGTGGATTCTTAAATTATTTCAGTATGTGGCAATAAAGAATTATTATCTTGTTATAAATTTAAAGGTTTTCTTGGTGAAGATAAATGATAATATGTTCTTGGGATTTGTCCCACTACCTTTATGTATATATTTACATAGCCTTAAGTTTTATRGCCAGGTAAAATAACTTCCTGATGTCAAAAAATGTGGCTCTTGAAGCACTTCGAATGAGCCAAAAGAGGGATATACTAACTATTCTTTTATAACGTATCCATCCATGAAAATGTTTGTGTTGTAAATTCCTTCCTATGCATAAACATAAATAATGCCACAAACCAATGCATAAGAGTCAGCAGTTCTTTTTTCCCCAAGTAGCTATTTTAATAACCACATAACCATGTAATGATAAGTTAGTGACTATATATCCTGAAATTTAGTTAAGGTGGGAGTTTTGGATCTTCTAAGAGGAGTTTAGTTATAAGCAGATCAGAGAAAAGAATATTAGAGGTTATGACATCTGAAGAACTAGTGGTTAAAGAAGGTAATTTTTATTGCTGGATGAGGTGAAAGGCTAAACCCAGAACAGTATTAGGTAAGGATACTAATGCTAAAAACAGTATTAGGTAAGAACTGTAGAATGTTTACAATGGTGTGAAATGATGTAAGTGCCTGGTTAACCAATTTTTTAAAAAAATACTTCCTTTTGTAGGAAGAAGACTTTCAAGAAATGATTAAATCTGCACAGATAATGGAAAGTCAATATGGTCATCTTTTTGACAAAATTATAATAAATGATGATCTCACCGTGGCATTTAATGAGCTCAAAACAACTTTTGACAAATTAGAGACAGATACCCATTGGATACCAGTGAGCTGGTTACATTCATAATTCCAGGAAGTTTCCACACTTGTGTGTGTATGTGTTTTGTTTTTAATAGAATGCATGATTAAATCAGTTGCCATTTTGGTCGTAGAGTTTTTTAATTATATCACTATCATAGATGTATAATCTTTGTAAAAATTGAATACTGGTTTAGTTTGTATCTTTTCACGGCCTTATTTGAAATACGTGTGACTCTAAAATCTAAGAATCCACCTTTGCTCAGTACTATATTCTGAGCAAAACTTTGGACCTTCCAGTTCTCTTTAATATATCTCTATCTGCAATGGGAGGTTGAATTTTTTAAAGAGATATAGCTAGAGACAATATATATAGATGTTCTGTACTTCAGCTGGTCTCAGACGTGGCCACTGCTATTTAATCTGTATGTCCGTAGTTGAAGGTATTAACTGAACAGTTTCAAGAACCTCTACAGACATGTCAGCTCTGAATTTTCAGGTGGTCACCATGGACTTAACTGGGCTGGCAATAAGACATAGTCTTCTTACTACTTTAAGAATGCAAACTTTTTCTTATGTCTACAAAATACGTTCACAGTGTATACATTTTAAAATCTTAGAGGAGTAACAGAAAATTTACCTTGAGTGAGTGACCTCATATTATAATTTTAGAGTAGTCCTTACAAGTATGTATCAGTGACATAACACGTAAGAAGGGAAAACAGAGGTTTTTTGTTTGTTTGTTTGTTTTTTTAATACAGGGGTCTCTCTTTATAACCCAGGCTGGCCTAGAATTTACCATCCTCCTGCCTCACACTCCCAAGTAGCTGGGATTACAGGTGTGTGCCACTACACCTGGCATAGACAGTAGACTGTTAAAAATTATTATAAATATAACTCATAACCTTTCTATATGGTATTAAGAGTGGGGAAGAAGTAATTATAAAGGACAGTTTTATTTGTAAATTCTCAGAAGACATTGCTGGAGTCACCAAAAAGGTATTTTGAGAAGGCTTTGGATTTTCCCAATAAATTATAAAAATGTTATTCCTATTCTAAACTATGTAAAATATGTTTTATATGTTAGTGATACAGTTAAAAAATGATCATTTTTTCAATTTGTGCAGTTGATCACCATATATGTAAATTGTGCTCTGTTTAGAAAACTTTTTGTGTAATGTAACTTTTGTCACCAGATGATTCTTAACACTGGCCATATACCATCTTAACCTAAAGAAGTATAAGAAGGGCTGGGGATGTAACTCAGAGGTAGAGCACTTAGCTAGCATGCACAAGGCCTTGGGTTTGATCCCCAGCACCTCAAATAATAATATTAATAATAAAAGAAGAAGAAGTAGTAAAAGAAAGACCCTTATATTGTAAAATATTTAGATAGTATCTCTCGTCTTTCTTTGGTACTATTGATCTTCAGAAAGTGAATTATATAATTCAAAATACTACAAATGTCTATAAGTTCTGTAAGAGAACATGTCCTGCTATTCTTGCATGTTGAAAGATCWTGCCAATCAAAACTCACTGCATCTATGACTTTCATACAAAAGAATTATTTTTGTCACTTTGTAAAGAATTTAGATGTCACATTTAAAAAATATAGAATGTAGTAAAATTTTATATATTTATGAAATATTTGAAAGGCATATTTTTTTAATTATCAAATGGGGCTCTCCATAAAATAAATTGACTATATGTAAAGATATCATAATTTAAAATAGTAGTTTTATAGATCAAGGTCAACATTCCATGTAAATATTTGACCTTTACACAGTTAAGATTCACAAGTACATTATATATACACTGCACATTTGGTATCATTCATCACTGGATTTATTTCAGACATGTCTAATTACATACTAGAAACGGGAACAAAAACTACTTCAATAGCCCTGATACATAGTCACATCCGAGGTAGTCAGATATTCAGACTAAATCKTATTTAACAACATAAACCGGGTGAGTTCTAAATTTATTAAATACCAAGCCATTTCATTAAAAAAAAAATGAGGGAAAGGTTACCAGATCTCACATTGTAGCCATTCTTAAAGTTATATGGCTCCTCTAAGAGAAGTGCAAGTCTGGTTTGGGTAGAAAGCATGGAATCATGCTTTGACATTGGCTAAAATTTCCAGTGAAATGAGACTTCCTATAAAAAGAATGGTGGGAAATGTATAATAGTATAGGCAATCTTCTGAATAATTTATTCATCCTAATTTCTTTACTCTGAAATATCTACATTGTTTTTTTTTCCCTGCATTTCCAGATAAATGCCTCAATTCATTACTTTAGGGATAGAGATAGAGGAGGGTAGTGGAAACTGAGTCCTTCCAGGTGGTGGTGGTGATGGCTACATTAGGAAACTACAACTCTACAGATCTTTGTCCGTTTTTGGACCAGAACTGAAAAAAATGTTTTTAAAATAATGAAAAGAAGGACAATTTGAAAAATCAGGTAGTATACATAGCCTTATAAGTGGTGTTTGTGGGTGCTTAGAGATTGGATTAAAATTTAATAAGGCAGGCCAGCTCCAAGGACTTGTTGATAACTGTAGCAAAAAGGGCCTGGATTCTGTCCTTCACCCTCATCCACCATTGCCCCTGAGGAAAAGAGCACTATACTCCCAACATGGAATGTCAGCCACTATTTGACAGAAGGGGATGATTAATTTTCAACTGTGTGTTTTAAAATCCAGAACCAAGAAGGAAATTCTTTTTTCTCATGATTGACAAATTAGTTAAAAATAAAAAGGTGCAATTGAAATACAAGTTTTTGCTATGGTTTTACTAGTCAGTGTAGAAATTCTTAGTATCTTTAAGGCTGACATTTCTTGTATTGAGTAATGATTGAATGTATCTAAATCTGACAAACTGTAAACTCAGATTTATGAAACTATGTTGTTAAAATATTCCTGAAGATAGATTTTTATTATTTATTTTCTTTTGGATAAGAAAGGACAATGGAAAGCCCTTGGTTTTAATAAAGTATCTATAAACAGTATGTGTACTTGAAAATTCTTTTTGCACTTGAATATTCAATTTATACTGTTTTCCATGGTAGGACAAATTCTTTTCTGCTGTGATATGAAGTGATTTATTTCAATTTGGCATGTCTAAAATTAAGTTTTCTGTTTTTTCAAACAATGCTCTTATCAAAGTTGTTGGAGACACCAGATTCACTAGTCTTGCTCTTACCCATAAATACCACAGCATAAAGATGTGGAGAAATAGAGTGGTTTGGATGATCCAGGACGATCCATGATGAGAACACACCTCTGCTTCCCCACTTCCTTTTCCCCCACCCCATCAGGACTGTTACATCTTCTTCCTGACCCAGTTATGCAAAACTGAACTTGTTCAGCTATACCTATAAGAACACACTATCTTCTCTTATACAGRCAGATATTGTTCTTGCTGCAATAGTTCAAGCCCGGCTTCCACATAAAGATTTTATAATGACGTACCAAATAAAAGTTTGGGATTTGCCAGGCACTAAAGCATATATCTGCAATCTCAACTACTCAGGAGGCTGAGGCCAGGAGCATTGCAACTTTGGTCCCAGCCTGAACAACTTTGCAAGACCCTGTCTCTAAATAAATTTTAAAAAGGGATAGGAATGAAAACTTGTTTGTAGAACACTTGCTTGACATGCATGAGGACCTGGGTTCAATCCCCAGTTTTGTTGAGAAGCAAGGATATGTATTTTTCATATATATTTTATGTATAATTCATTTATAAATATGTGTGTGTTCATATACATATGAATGAACTTGGGATCTGAAGCCAGAATTCTTGAGTTGAAATTCTGGTTTTTGCCCATTACCAGTGTTGCAACCTTGGGAACCAAAAAAAAAAAAAAAAAAATCAAATGTCTCTGGTCTTTATTTTCTCATCAGGAAAATATAGGTAATAAATAGATATTTCCTCATAGGATTGTTGTAGGCATCAAATGACAGAATCCATGTTAAGTACTTAGAGCTAAATCTGGAATTGTGAGCTCCTGTTTTTTATAATGGTCATTATCAYATCACACAATTTAAAAATGGGTATGTAAGTATTCTTAATCACCCTAAATAGTTCCCTTATTATAATAGTGAACTCATTAGAAGTTCCTAATAATTCCTATTATAACTTTATTCTTTTAAAAAATTTCATTGCTTCCAACCAAATATAGGAACTAATTAGGCAATACCCAAAAGAAAACCAAGTCAAATTTTATTTTTAAACACTGAATATGATGCAATATGCTTGATAATAGTTTGAAAGAAATACCTCTTGTTTTGTTGCTCTTTCTTCTGCTGCCATCTTTCCTCAATGTTTGCTTGGTTACGGAAGCTTCTGGAAGCTATTTTTTAGAAGAGCTGTCTTAGAGACATATATTAGCCTAATCATTGCCTGATTAAATTGCACTGTATTAATCTTGGAAGGTCTGTGTGATTTCCATGCACTATCTCATTTAATTCTCACAGTGATCTTATGTGGATGACATATTATCTTCATATTTAACAGATGAGAGAACTGAGAGCTTCAGTACTGTGCCCAAGGCCACATAGGAGATGAGTAGTAGAATCAGGGTTTGAATCATTGTCCGGCTTCCTCCATCTCCATGAGATTTTTACTCAATTGTGCTTCCCTGTGTTGATAGAACTTGAGATAAAGCTGGAAACTTGTGTAAGAGATGAATAATTAGGAGAACAATCATGCATCTTTACTTTTGAATGCCCCTGCCTAACAGTTTTCTCAGAACACTACTGCTTTGATCAGATATACCTTAAAGTATCTATGCCTGTTTGAGTGGGTTAATCACAGCTAGTGGCTATGATCAGAAGCATACAAAGACATGTACTAAGTTGCTCTAAGTACTTTACATAGTAGGCAATTGTTTGTTTAGTCTCAGTCCCAGTCCTTAGTGATGATTCATGATTTGTAAGTCAGTCAATCTCCTATGGTGAATGATCTGAGCTGGTCATGCTACCAGCTCCAGATAATGCGTTGTCTGTTGGAGGAGGAAGACACATTTCTCTGATTTAAACAACTGCATGAAGTGAAAATACTTTGTTCCTGCCCCCATCCTTCCTGCTTGAGATGCCTTGGTTATGTTGTGTTGCTTGTTAATAGGACAGCCATAATTCTACCCCTACACTAGAGAGGATGGTAAAGCCCATCATCATCTGAGGATGACTGAATAGAAAAGAGAAAAGCCCTAAATCCATTAAACCATTGAGCTGCTGAATCAATCCGAAGGATTCTTTCCTATAATTGTTGAAGAAAAAAATGTTATGATGGTTTAAGTCATTGTTGGGTTTTTTGTTTTTCTTGCTGCTGAAAACACTCAAAAGTGTTTACCCATGAGCAATGTAGACCACTGTCAATATCTGCTTTTACTTACCAAGCTTGTCATATGCACTCCTGGATACAATTCTTTAATTTTAAAACATCCTAGAAAGAGACTGCATTCAAAATGTGTTTTTCTTGGGTTTTACTATTTTTTCCTGTACAACATGAATGGGAAACCTTAAAATTCAGGTTAGAACAAATTTGTTCTTCAGTGTTTGGACTTATAAATTTATCATGGTTTGGTTCTAATTTTATCAGTTGCTCAAAATATTATATAAACTAAAAGGCTAACCAAACACTACCCGAATCTGCCATTTTGAAAGAAGTATGTCATTTTTAATCTGATTTGGGCAATAAAAATGTGAAAAGTTTCCATTCCTTGAGCCTTTGCTTGATATACTATCACCTTACTGATTAATACATGTAAGCTGTTTATGCACATCCACCTAA